TAGTGAATGAGCTGAATAGAAATTTAAAATTTAATTACCTTTCAGTATTAATAAGTTTGGTGAAGTTTTTAAAAATAAAGCTTCATTATAGCAAGTGATTGCACCCATATATTTTTTTATTTTGTGTAGCACCTTACCTAAATAATAATGTAATGTACCTTTTATCTCCAACGCTAAAACATCTTTAGGATTTATAATAAGAGCATTGTCATAGCATTCGATGGCTTCTTCGTATTTATTAAAATTACATAGTGAAACTCCTAATAAATAAAATTTAACAATTAATTACCCTTAGAAATTAATACCTTATTATCTTTAGGATTCATCATAAGAACTTTGTTATAGCATTCAATAGCTTTTTCGTGTTTATTCAAATTTTCTAGTGCCTTTCCTAAATAATGATTTTTAACAAATAAAAACCCTTATTGTACAAAGCCGTATAAATTTTGGGATTTATCATAAGCGCTTTGTCATAGTATTCGATAGCTTCTTCGTATTTATTCAAATTACATAGTGCATTTCCTAATAAATGAAATTTAACCTTTAAATACCCTTTTACATCAAAGCATGAGCACATATGGGATTTAAAATAATAGTTTTGTCAAAGCATTCAATAGCTTCTTCGTATTTATTCAAATTATCTAGTGCAACTCCTAAATAATGATATTTAACAAATAAAACCCTTTTTTATCAATGCATATTCATTTTTAGGATTTATAATAATTGCTTGGTCAAAGCATTAAATAGCTTCTTCGTATTTATTCAAATTACATAGTGCAACTCCTAATAAATGAAATTTAAACACTAAATACCCTTATAAATCAATGCATCATCATATTTGGGATGTATCATAAGAGCTTAGTCAAAGCATTCAATAGCTTCTTCATATTTATCCAAATTTATTAGTGACATTCCTAAATAATGATATTTAATAAATATAAACCTTTATTGTACAATGCATTATAATCTTTGGGATTAATTATAAGAGCTTTGTTAAAGCATTCAATAGCTTCTTCGTATTAATTCAAATTTAATAGTGCAACTCCTAATAAATGAAATTTAACCACTAAATACCCTTATACATCAATGCATCATCATATTTGTGGTTTATCATAAGAGCTTAGTCAAAGCATTCAATAGCTTCTTCATATTTATCCAAATTTATTAGTGACATTCCTAAATAATGATATTTAATAAATAAAAACCCTTATTGTACAATGCATTATCATTTTTAGGATTAAAAATAATAGCTTTGTCAAAGCATTCAATAGCTTCTTCGTATTAATTCAAATTATCTAGTGCCTCTCCTAAATAATGATAATTAACAAATAGAAACCCTTTTTTATCAATGCATATTCATTTTTAGGATTTATCATAAGAGCTTTGTTAAAGCATTCAATAGCTTCTTCGTATTAATTCAAATTTAATAGTGCAACTCCTAATAAATGAAATTTAACCACTAAATACCCTTATACATCAATGCATCATCATATTTGGGATTTATCATAAGAGCTTAGTCAAAGCATTCAATAGCTTCTTCATATTTATCCAAATTTATTAGTGACATTCCTAAATAATGATATTTAATAAATAAAAACCCTTATTGTACAATGCATTATCATTTTTAGGATTAAAAATAATAGCTTTGTCAAAGCATTCAATAGCTTCTTCGTATTAATTCAAATTATCTAGTGCCTCTCCTAAATAATGATAATTAACAAATAGAAACCCTTTTTTATCAATGCATATTCATTTTTAGGATTTATCATAAGAGCTTTGTTAAAGCATTCAATAGCTTCTTCGTATTAATTCAAATTTTATAGTGCAACTCCTAATAAATGAAATTTAACCACTAAATACCCTTATACATCAATGCATCATCATATTTGGGATTTATCATAAGAGCTTAGTCAAAGCATTCAATAGCTTCTTCATATTTATCCAAATTTATTAGTGACATTCCTAAATAATGATATTTAATAAATAAAAACCCTTATTGTACAATGCATTATCATTTTTAGGATTAAAAATAATAGCTTTGTCAAAGCATTCAATAGCTTCTTCGTATTTATTCAAATTATCTAGTGCCTCTCCTAAATAATGATAATTAACAAATAGAAACCCTTTTTTATCAATGCATATTCATTTTTAGGATTTATCATAAGAGCTTTGTTAAAGCATTCAATAGCTTCTTCGTATTAATTCAAATTTTATAGTGCAACTCCTAATAAATGAAATTTAACCACTAAATACCCTTATACATCAATGCATCATCATATTTGGGATTTATCATAAGAGCTTAGTCAAAGCATTCAATAGCTTCTTCATATTTATCCAAATTTATTAGTGACATTCCTAAATAATGATATTTAATAAATAAAAACCCTTATTGTACAATGCATTATCATTTTTAGGATTAAAAATAATAGCTTTGTCAAAGCATTCAATAGCTTCTTCGTATTAATTCAAATTATCTAGTGCCTCTCCTAAATAATGATAATTAACAAATAGAAACCCTTTTTTATCAATGCATATTCATTTTTAGGATTTATCATAAGAGCTTTGTTAAAGCATTCAATAGCTTCTTCGTATTAATTCAAATTTTATAGTGCAACTCCTAATAAATGAAATTTAACCACTAAATACCCTTATACATCAATGCATCATCATATTTGGGATTTATCATAAGAGCTTAGTCAAAGCATTCAATAGCTTCTTCATATTTATCCAAATTTATTAGTGACATTCCTAAATAATGATATTTAATAAATAAAAACCCTTATTGTACAATGCATTATCATTTTTAGGATTAAAAATAATAGCTTTGTCAAAGCATTCAATAGCTTCTTCGTATTAATTCAAATTATCTAGTGCCTCTCCTAAATAATGATAATTAACAAATAGAAACCCTTTTTTATCAATGCATATTCATTTTTAGGATTTATCATAAGAGCTTTGTTAAAGCATTCAATAGCTTCTTCGTATTAATTCAAATTTAATAGTGCAACTCCTAATAAATGAAATTTAACCACTAAATACCCTTATACATCAATGCATCATCATATTTGGGATTAATCATAAGAGCTTAGTCAAAGCATTCAATAGCTTCTTCATATTTATCCAAATTTATTAGTGAAATTCCTAAATAATGATATTTAATAAAGAAAAACCCTTATTGTACAATGAATTATCATCTTTGGGATTAATTATAAGAGCTTTGTTAAAACATTCAATAGCTTCTTCGTATTTATTCAAATCATCTAGTGCCTTTCCTAAATAATGATATTAAACAAATAAAAACCCTTATTTCTCAATGCATATTCATTTTTAGGATTTATCATAAGAGCTTCGTTAAAGCATTCAATAGCTTCTTCGTATTAATTCAAATTTAATAGTGCTACTCCTAATAAATGAAAATTAACCACTAAATACCCTTTTTGTACAATGTCTTCTCTTCTTAAGGATTTATCATAAGAGCTTTGTCGTAGCATACAATAGCTTCTTCGTATTTATTCAAATTAAATAGTGAAACTCCTAATAAATGAAATTTAACCACTAAATACCCTTATACATCAATGCATCATCATATTTGGGATAAATCATAAGAGCTTAGTCAAAGCATTCAATAGCTTCTTCATATTTATCGAAATTTATTAGTGATATTCCTAAATAATGATATTTAATAAATAAAAACCCTTTTTTATCTTTGCATATTCATTTTTAGTATTTATCATAAGAGCTTTGTTAAAGCATTCAATAGCTTCTTCGTATTTATTCAAATTATCTAGTGCCTCTCCTAAATAATGATAATTAACAAATAGAAACCCTTTTTTATCAATGCATATTCATTTTTAGGATTTATCATAAGAGCTTTGTTAAAGCATTCAATAGCTTCTTCATATTTATCCAAATTTATTAGTGATATTCCTAAATAATTATATTTAATAAATAAAAACCCTTATTGTACTATGCATTATCATTTTTAGGATTTATAATAAT